TTTCACAGTTTGGAGCAATTTGCAAGTGTTGTTTTAAAACCTTACCAGGTTACCAGGTGTAACATGGTAAAAATGTGAAGGGTGTTGGCAGTATCAGTACCTTTCCTTCATATTTTGCATTCTGTGGAAAGGAGGCTCTGTTCCCTGCTGAGTCAGGTCTTAGTAGGGAGTGAAGTGTGTTCTGAATGCTGTTTATCCATTCTTTGGTCCTCTGCAAAAAGCTCCTGGAGAGCTCATCTCCCAGGGTGCCTCTCCTCCCTGCAGCTCTCCTGGACTTTGAAGAGAATAAGGTTTCCTTCTATGTGGATTTCATTTACAAGAAGAGACAGATTTGACATTGTTCCCCCCTCTTTTTTGATAACAGTTCTGTTAATTTTTCTTTCCCCCACCTTTAATTAAATTGTTCCTTCTACTTCCTATCAACTTCCACCTACCTTCCCCTTTCCATTTCTCATTCTTTAAAAATAAATACCTTGCTAAGCTTTTTAGTTTCAATTTCACTTACAACTAGTATAGCAACATAGCACTCTTTTAGACTTGTGTTGATAAGCACAGCTCCCAAATGCTGATAGGGCTCCTCTGGAACATTCTGGGCAACGATGCAGAAGGCACTTAAGATCCTTTACTTGTAGGACATCAAGGTTTTTTTTGTGTGTGACCAGATTTAGTGCGGATTTCTGTACAACTGGTTTAATGTTATAGATTTGGGAAGAAGCACTACATAGAATCATAACATTAATTTTAGCTTTAGTTAAGGTCTGTTTAATGTGAAGTGCCCACTTTATGCTGGCAGACAAATTACCAATGGGGCAACTAGAGAATGCATGAATGATAATGTACAGACAAGCTTTTTATTATTTATTCATAGAAAACAGTGGGTTTTGGTGTGCTGCTTTGAAAAATGTTCAAACTAGTAGAATATAATGAAAGCACAGTGAAAATTCTATTTCATTAACATTTAATCATAAATCGCTCTTTAATATAAAACATAAAATAAAAGTCTGTCATAAGCACTTAGGTGTACGGAACGGAGAAAGTCTGCAAAAAGGGGAAAGGAAACACTGAGGTGGGTTTCACTGTTCCTGTTATCTGTCACTTCAGAAGAAAAAAATAAGCAAAGAAACAACAGTCTCCAGCTAAATCTCACAACTGGTCATGAAGAAACTGCTTGGATATTTCTCAAAACTGTACATTTTGATGGCTAAAAGTATTAGCAATATCTATGGGCAGGGAAACAATGATTGTAGCAAAATCACAACAGCTCAAGATCAGCAATCTTACCCAGGACTCCACTACCCAGATAAAAAATAATGAGAACTTCAAGCTGCCAGAGCAGATTCAAAAATCTTTTCCATGAAATATCTATTACCATGTTTATTGTATAACAAGTATTCTCAAATTCCCCTTAGAGGTATACAAGAGTGATGCACAAATAACAAGCTCTTACCCACTACAGATCTTCAAGGCTTATAGGAAATTAGATCTTTATAAAATACTATAGATTATGTCCCTTTTCGAGACCTCTTGTCAGAGGGGTCTTATCCGTTACTCTACAAATACAAATGCAATATTATACTATCAATACTGATTTGAGCAACACCAGCCTGTCAATTAGCAGAACACATCTGTAGACACTGAGGACACAGGCTACAACATTTTTTAGGTTCAGACAACCTGCACATCTCTGACAAAGAACAGAGCAATTCTTATTGGGGACCGTCTATCAATCACTGCCATCTGTGAGACTCAGTGCCTTTCTGATAACATAGTATCTTCTTCCTCCTTTAACAGCTTTCTTTCCCTAAAGAATAATCCACCACCTGAGCAGAGCCCGTACCTGCAGCCCTTTACACATTTCAATGTCAGCAGTTAGATCATGTTTGACTCCTGTCAATAGTAGTCCTAAAAAGCTAAAAAAACTGTTCTAAAAACAGAAGAAAATAAGCATCAATTACACTATTGTGACTTCTTTCTCCCAGCCATCATAAAAAATTCTGACAAGGCAGCCAAGCAACCAAAACTCTTGATATGTTTTGCCATAAAGCAAGCAAAAAACCCCAAACAAAACAAATCTAAAAGCACCTTTTTACATGCTTTGCTTATATCCCAGAGGCTGCTCAAGCAGCCAGCTCTGCAGCCTGCTCAGGAAATGAGCATTTAGGTAACACAGGTTTTCCCAGAGGCAAGATTTTTTTTAAAGGAAAAGAAAGCCCTTGGAGAATGCTTCCTTTAAGCAGCCTCCTCTGTTTTACAGTAATATGGTTCGAGCATAAAGCCCCCACTGATCACAGATGAGTTAGGAAGGCTGAGGAGAGGCAGGTTTCAAGCTTGAGGGGTTTTTTCCTCCCAGTCAAGCTCTTTGTTACCAGGACACCTTACCAAGCATTCTTCCACTGACTTTTCTGCTGAACAGTATGGCTGCATGTCATAAGGAATTGATGTTGTGGGCATGGAATTATAAATTCCAATTAATTGCTGAAGGCATCATTCAGGAATTGTGGGCCATTATCCCCTAACACATCTGGAAGCCCAGAGGGAGTGACCTGTGATTCACAAATATGTCCCTGTGCCACATGCCGGGCAACACCTCAGTGATGAGTCAGTGGTGTTCTATGAACAAAGGGCAAAACTTCCCATTTAACTGGAGCAGATGAAGGGCAAGCAGACCTATCACTGGATTTCTTGGCATCAGTCCTTTTCTTCCTTATTGTCTTCCCTGACTCCTGCCCATTACTTTTGGATATCCACCTTCAGAATTGGCTTCTATTCATTCCTCTCTGGGCAGGTTGGTTTACCTTTGTACAGCTCTGTCTAATCAAGACAATCACTGTAAAGTACTGGCATTTCTGATCTGTAGCTTTCATTAGCGTTTCTTCTCTATAGTCAAGTGCAGTAACTCCAGAAACAAAGTCTTTATGCTTAGGAGAATCAACTTTTGCTGATCTTTCACTTCCAGAAATTGCTTAAAAGACTTTTAAAGAAGAATCATCCTATTTCTTGTTGAAGTGTGTTTGTAAAAACACAAACTATTAATTTGTCATTGGTTTACACAAGCTTTAAGGTGCTTTATTTTTTCTTTCAGTCTTTATCAGAACTCCTAAATCCCATCTCAGTCAGAATCACAATTCTGATTTTGGTCTTGTGATCACACAGAGCACTTATTTCATATGCCTACTGCTCCATTCATGATACTCAGCCTTATCACTTCTAACAGCTGAAAGAACACCTAACTCCACCAATTAGCTGACATATCAATTTCCTGTAACATCTTTCCAAAGTAACATTCCATTATATATACAGATGAAAGTTCTTGAAATTTTGCCAACACTTTGTCCAGCAATCTACTATCAACTTTGGGGTTATTACATTGCAGCACACATGCTGATACTCCATGGCTATAGGACACTTTATTGCTAAATTGCTGTCGTGCATTTGTTATCTAGAAATGTCCACCTAAGGCTTCCAACTAACAGCTTCCAGTGTTTGGACCTTTCAGAAGAGGATTCAAGTACTTTGCTTGTCTGCTTTTGGTGGACACTTAATTGTGATGAGGTATGAATGCAATACAGAGATAGGTTAATCAGCAACACTTTGTCCTAATTAATAAGGAAGCTCTTTGGCATTTAATTCAAAGCATGAGAGCAGTTCCACAGCCTTCAGGGACACAGAGCTAATGTCCATTTTCCAGATGATATGGTTGCAAGAGGTTACACAGGTACTGATGCTGATGACTACTGTCATGCTTATCATGCTTGTCCCTTTATTAGACTTCAGTGTATGTTTTTAATCAAAAGAGACTTCACCAGGAATTTGTTAAGTTTCAGTACATGCTGATTTTGAAATGTGCAATTATAGTTTGATAAAAGACTGATTGACTGTCCTATGTAGCACAGGCAATGGCAGACATTCTTAACTGCTGCTTAATCTTGTCCAGGGTGCTCCTTTACAGACTCTGCTCTCATTTGCCTGTATTTTAACCATGCCTTCCATTTCAAACTCTGCTTTAGGCTGACAAAATTCAGAAGGTTCCAGCTGAACCCGGAACTCAGTTGGATACTAGAATGAGCTGCAAATCCCACTCACATGCCCTCTGTGCATCCTGAGTGCCTGAGAACAACAAATACTTACAAATAAGTAAAAATTAGACTTGAGGTGTCTTAGTGTCCAAGAGCAGTGACAACAATTATGACAACTTTTGGTCTTAGTATTGTGATTTTCCACCATGACAGGGGAGAAAAAATAACTAATATTAACACTTGTGAACAAACAGGAGACTAGGACACTACAGAGACAAGGATCACAGAAAACCTTATACATGCAATTAGCATTTTTTACATTCAGTTGAAGTTTTCTATCATAAGCCATGGAAAATAAGGCTTTGTGTGAACATATGAACAAAGAGTATAAAATTAACTGTTCATTTCACAAATACCTTCCACCCAGTGTAACATGATAGAGAAATCATGTAAAAATAGTTGGCAGTTGTGCCAGTAAACCCCTTACTGCAAAGCATAAGCAAAATGGCTCGAATAGCCTTAATTTGATGATTTCTTAACTTGTGACTACTTAGCCTTTATATGTTTATTAATGTGGAGTTTTTTTTATTCCTGTAATTATTAGTAGATACTACACAGGGAGGAAGGACTTCCTTCACCCCCAGGCAAAGAGTATGTGACAAAAGGACTGTGTAATATTCTCAAAGCTCATTTGTATGGGGCTGAAATTTCTCACAGCCTGGGCTACCATTTTTCCCACTTTATGTTCAGGAGCTCCCTCCTCGCTCTGCAGCAGCATGTGTTTGTGGTAGTGAGGGACAGATGCTCAATCTCAACAAAGATCAATGTGGCTCCAGGGAGCACTGTAGCATCTTTTCCCTGATATTAGACTTCACTATCCTGAGGCTGTTCCTATGTGGCAGCTTATCAGGTTGCCAGTCTGTCTTTAAGATAGCTCTCTTTATCTTGTTTTTTTAAATAAGAACGTATATTTAAAAGACATACCTGTCCAATAATAAGAGGGACTACAACAGTCATAAACAGCTGCGAGAATATGGATGTAAAAGGCACAGAGGAGGAGGATCCAAGCTACAGAAAAAAAGATAAACCATTAACATTTCACTTTTTCGTAGTATCTGCAAATTTCATGCACAGATATCACACATTAATATGCATTCTATTTTACACATAAAAACTGGAACGATATGCACTGGAAGTAGCTGCACATGTTTAAGAGTTAAGTCACAATAAAACATTTGGTGTTCCACAAAACAGAGCTAAACCAATCTCTGATTATTTTATAACCTAGGGTAGTATTTCCATCAATATTCATTTAATTGAAAACCTGCTACACATATATGCCAAGTAAATTATATAAGCATTTGTAGGATGATAGTCTAAAGAGACAGGGAGTGAATCCTCCTAACTAAACAGTTAGCTTGACTTACTTTACCATTTATGCAAACATCAAACAACAGAAGTCAGTGTAGTTATTTCAATAAATAAATGAAAATAATGAAATAGTGAAGAAAACATTCATATGTTTTATTTCAGTGCTGTCTAAAAAGAGATATACTAGAAGTATAGAACTATTCTTTCATTAAGAAAACTGAACTGACAGTCTTAGTCTTCAAATAGGTGATCTCTCTAACAATAACTGTAAATGCTACAAGTATATTTTTTTTTAAGATGTTGGTAAAAAACAGGAACACACACAGTCAGTAGGGATTTTGGAACCTGCTTCAGAATGTTTAGGAAAATATACAGTATTTTTTACATTCTGACTGGACTTATTTTAGCCTAGGTAATTGGAAAGTTTCCTTTAATGTAATTTCACACCTCTTTAACAGGAATGGAATACACATTAAGAAACATACACTAAGGAGACTGAATAGCATTGTCAGAGCTCCCACAGACAGCCACTTGCTTCACAATGAGGCAAAGGACACAACATTAAGGTTTTCACAGATCCCCTCTATTTTCTATCTTACACTTCACTTTAAAGATTCTCAAAACGACAACAGAATACACCATCTTTTCAGCACCATCTAAATGATGCTGATTTCCTAAAGCATTCTTACAAACATCATTCTCATAAATTATACTTTTCACACTTACCTTCCTTTCCAAGCTACCTTCCTGACAGACAAGGTGATCATGCAATCTACTAACTTTCTATAAGCCTGCCTTGAAAAATCAACACATGGCCATACAAATGGGTTTGGCATAAAACAAGATTCTTCATGAATTTGAAGAACAGAAAAATCAGAAATTTTATATAGTGAAGTACTTTAATTTATGCAGAAATGTACGACTGCACTGCTTTTTTGTACCTGTACATTTGTACATGCACCACTTGAGAAATGGGCAAACACACCTGTGCGGGATGTCTCTGGGCAAACTGAGCTTCTGGCGCAGGCAAATGGCCTCAGATTTCACATGTCCCTTGCTGAACACACTCTGGGTGGAGAGTCTCAGGAGGAACATACAGGATCTGGCTGTTTCCTTTGTGCTACCTGAACTGGCAACATCAGCTAAGACTCAGTCTGAGCACTTAACAAATTACAACAGCTCATTGTCATCGTCACCTCCAGCTTCAATGACGTGGGCACCTGAGGATGATGGTACAGCTGAGAATTTTGGTCTGCAGCTAGGGACTCAGTGAGCCTAAATTCCCCACGGAGACAAGAGGGAGAAGTAAAAGCTTGTATAGGAAGATTCAGATCACCCACAAATACCCAGTGTCTGGCAGTGCAGCCACATTCCCAAGGGACACAGGGCATTCTGAGTGTTTCCCTACAGAGCGCAGACCTCCATCATCCCACTCATCATCTCCTTATTGTTTTAATTCTTGTAAGGAGCTTCTGAAATTTTAAAAAGTTCTTAGTTTTTCAAATTGTATTTGGACTTATTGTTATGTGCTGAGGAGCTAAAAGCATTACTTACTGTGTATTCCAGGAAGCCTTTTCAAGTGAAAGTGAAGATTTTTAAACTTTAAAATCTGCCTGGGCCACAGAGGCGTCAGTCTAAGCAAGCCAGGACACTTGAACAGCTTCACAGAACTACAACACTTTGGCACTGACTCCTGTGCTTTTCTATAAAATGTTGATTGGACTTTGCTCACTACTTTTAAGCTTTATGCTCAGTGGATGCATAATCAGTTTCTAAGTCAAGAATGAAAAACTATTCAACAGGACTCAACAGACTGTTGAAAAAGGCATAGCCTTGGCGGCTTTTTAAAATGCTACTTCAAATGTAGTGTCTTCAAACTGTTGGGAATTTTTAATTATATATACTTTGTGTATATATAAGGATATGTTCTGCTTTGGATGTGGGGCTTTTGGTATTTGTTTTGTTGTGTTTTTTAGATAATTACAAACTGAATTAAAGGGGCTGATACTACATCTTCAAACAGACTTCTAAACTTTGTTTCCTTTCTGTATATTTTGACAATAATTTCAGTGGGCTGCTTTTTATCAAAATCTGTTAGATTATATCTATCAACTCTTGTATTACCTCACCCTTAAATCTATTTCCTGAGAAAGACAGAAGATAAGATATAGGCTGAAGAGAAGGCATGAACTTCTCAATCACACAGAAAATAAAGACAATTTTAAACCAGACTCTGGACATACAGTGGCTAACCACAAAGAAACAAAAATACTAAAGAACCCAAAGCTAATGGAGGCATACTTTGACCAGGGCCTTCTCAACATTTTTAGCATGAAAACTCATCAGGCTCACAGCTCTAAGTGCCCCATGGACTCTCAGACATTGCCTGGGCTCCAGGGTTCCTTTGAACTATCTTTTGGATATGTTGGCCACACTTGTTTTGAGAAAGAGAAGTGAGAATTGAAGAAACAAAAACCTTGATATAATGTTAATCAAACCTTCTTACACACTTACAAAATGCAAATATTCTGTCCAAATGAATAAATAGGACTTCACTCAGGTTTTAGTTGGATCAAGCTAAGTTCTGTGCTCCATTAGCTGTGATTAAAGTTGTTTTCTTTTTTTTTTTTTTTTTTTTTTTTTTTTTTTTTAAGAACTAACTATCTAGATAATGTGCATTGTACAGAAATTAGTATTAGGCTGATTTTATTAGGCTGAAATTATTAGTAGGCTGATTATCTTTGGCTGCCCTCCTTGTTACAATAATCTCTATGCCTAAAAATGAACCTTTCTTCAATGGCAAACAGATGTACTGTAAGAACTGCCACAAAAACATCATACAATCAAACTACTGATTTGTAGCTGAATAAACACCACCACTACCTGACTAGAATGACGTATGGAAGATAAAATGCACCACTTAATGAAAAAGGAATCACAAATTTCATGCCACCATATTGTCCATGCTTCTTTAGGAACATTTTTTAAAGTTTGATATTGTGAAAATATTGTTACACACCATTCCGGATTAGCAGCATTTCAGTTAAAGTTTAGTAATAAGCCAGCCCTTCTTTAATGGACTCACTATTCAAGAAAAGACCCTGAGAATTCTTGATTGGGCAAAGACACTTTTCACTTAAATAATCTGATTGATTTCAGAAGGGTAACTCAGATAGGCAGAAAGATAATTCCAGGCAAATCTTCCCAAACAATTCTGTCACCATGCAGTACTTCAAACCTGACCTGCAGCATTCTTGCTAATTTAGTCCTAGACCTTTCTTCTCAAGAGACTGCCTGTTTTATAAAAATCCAACAAATAATTTAGTGGGTTTCTTTATGAGTTTGTGGTAGAAACACTGGCTTATCCTTAATTAAAAGGCTATATTTAACTGGATATGGTAAAAAAACAAAGAGCAAAACCCAAACTTCCTTGCATAAAAAACAAGACAATTCCATCTCCCAGCCTAGACTGCCTGCACAAGCCAGAGGCTCCATTCTCATCTTTCTGGCTGACCAGGCAGGTATCACCGGGGGTGTTCCCACGTCTACACTGCCATGGACTCAGAAGAAACACATCATCCCAGTCCCACCAAATTACGGCCCAGTGACACATGTGCTGCACACATTGCGTCCACTTCGGAGCAGGCTGTCCTTGGGGGCAGCTTTTACCCTCCCAGTGCTCTCCTGCAATTAATGCGTCCTCAGGTTGTGTCTTTGTGCTCTTCACACACCATCAACCAGCTTCAGCCTCACCAGTTGTTGAGCACAGAGCGAGGCAGGGGTGAAAAGAGGGCAGAACTGATGGGGAGGGGCACTACTGGCTGCTCTTTTACACAAGATATTCAGTTTTAAGCTTTTCTTTTCTACATTCTGGTGGAAGGGTCTGGCTACTCTGACACCCCCTTTAAATTTTGCATTCAATGCTGTATTGTCACCGCTTCTGGTTCCCCTCATCCAGCCCAGCTCCAGCTGCCTCAGAGGCCTGTCTGGAGCACCCCATGCCTCAATCCCTTTACATCCTGTTGGGGATGGCAGGCCCATTACAGAAAGGCCACAGAATGCAATGCACTTCTGGAAAAGAGGTGGATGGCATCCAGTTTAGTGATGAAGGGCAATGAACAAGAGTTAGCAGCTGAACAAAGCCCTCTCTTGCTTTGGACTCCTTCCAGAGCCCTTATCCTGGCAGCATGTTACAGTACAGCAGGAAAATAACCACATCTCCCTCAGAAACCCAGGAATGGAACTGCTGTGATGGGAACTGCCATGGGCAGTATTGATGCTGGGGCTCTGGGAAGCAGGGAGCACTTGGAAGAGCACTGATGTGCTCCTGTGAGTTCCACAGAGCCCAGCTCCAGATTTCAGGCAGGAGGTCAAAAGAGGTGATTCCCACATAACATCCAAGCAGAGCTGACAGGTCACTGGGGTGTCCTCCCCACCCCACTCTTTACAGGCAGTCACACACACAGCATTTGGACATCTAGGAAAGGCAAAGAAGCCATGCAAGACATGCCAGCTCCCAGCCACTGACCCACAGTCATTGACTGGTACTGAAATAATCCACCTGGAACGGGTGGAAGGGAAGGGGAGGCATACCACCGAGAATAGAGTTTCTATAGGACATGTTTAAATTTAAAAATAAAGGTTTTCATTACACCTGTCAAAAACTGCAAATTGTCTCTTGCCTCAGAAAGGGGCAA